GGGGGAGGAGGAGGTATGTATGGTATGGGTTTGCGCTAAACGCGGGGTCAAGCCCCAATTCAGAAGGACTCGGCGTCGGAGTCGCCCTCCTCAGGGCTGTCCGCGCTCCGCAGCAGGGCCGAGCGGCCGAGGTCACGGACCAGTTCGAGCTCCCCTTCCCACAGCCCAAACGCCCTCAGCACCTCGGCCCGCCCCCCATGGTCAGCCCGCCCCCATCCGCCACAGGCCCCGACGCTTAGGGCCGCGGGCTGTGGCTCTGGGGGCAGGCTCAGCTCGGCCTCGGCGAGGCTCGAGCGGGTCGCTGGCAGCACTCCATGCGGCTTCCCGACCTTCAGCGAGCGCACATTGGCGCGGTACGAGGGGAACTCTCCTTTCTTGATCCTCCGCAGCTGGTCTACGCCTCCAGCTTTGGCCTTCTCGGGGCACCACCCCCTTAGGCCTGGGGATAACTTGCCGTCCGAGGAAACGGTGCCACAGCGGCAACAGAAGACGACAGAAGAAACGTGGGCAGTGCGGCAGAGCACGTCAGCCTCCAGCAGGTTGTGGCCTTGCCACCAAAAACTGGCATCTGCATATTCTTCCCACCCGTCTCCCACCCCGTACGGCGACCCCACCTCCCCTCCACGGCCGCGCGCCTGGGGCTCAGGCTCGGGGTCTTCTGGGGTCTCAGGGTCCACCTCAGCAGCAGCGCCCCGAGACCTCCAGTACGCTTCCATCAAATCTTCGTGGTCCTGGCCATTGGACTCTACGTGCACCCAAGCCGCCCAACGGGCGGACTCTTGGGCTAAAAACACAAAGCCTTGCCACAACTGAAACTGCTCTTCGCCTACGCCGTGCTCCGCAGCACCGAGCTTCGCAAACCTGTCGGCGTGGGCGTTCCCTCTGTACTCCCACTCCGTGGTAACACCCGCATCTACCTGGGCTCTGGTACAGTGGGCCTTGGTTTTAAAAACTTGGAAGTCCCCTTCGGAGAACGCACCCCAGAACGGACTCCAGAGCTGGGCCCGACCACAACTGCTTTGGGATCCAGAGCCCGCGCCGCCCCGCAAAGTCCCAACAGTGCCTGCACAGTCGATGAAGACGTCGAAGGGCGCCATAGCACAAACGCGGAGCATCGAGACGGCGTAATCCTCCGCGTCTCTAGAACTCTGCTTAGGGCAAATACGACGTGGGACGGGCCCGTAGGACGCCGAAATTACATCGCCAAATCTATCCACCTGCACGATGGCCCAGCCCGCTCGGGCCAAAAACGGGGCCGAGGCCCATAAGGCCGACCCGTCTAAGAACAGCGTGCCACTCAGGAGCCCTGACTCAGGACGGTTGTGCCACAAGATGGTATCTTGGGCCTCGGTCGCGACGTGGAAGACCAACTCTGGCGACGGGAACAGGCCTCTCGCAAACCTCTCCCCCTCGTCGGACCCCCATTCGCGGACCCTGCGGGCTCTCGTCCTGTGGAAATCGTCAACCCATTCACGTCTGAGCCCTGCATACTTTGGGCACTCGTATGCCCTGTGCCACAAGGACCCGTCGGGATCTCCACATACAAGACACCTCGCTGAGCCAACAAGTCCATGGTGGTGAAGCCGACTTTGTGGCCAGTGTCCTCCAGAAACCAAGGATCTCAACGTCCTCTGAAACCTCTTCGTCCAGGATCCCTTGGTTCGATGCAGGAGCCCCTCAAGTCCTGCCCAAAATATCGGCAAATTCCACCTGGCTTTGGGCTCACGACAAAAAAGAGCTTGGCGATCGGAAGCTCGCCTGGCTCCTGCAACTGCTAGCTCCTGAACGAGCGCTGGAGGTAAAACGCGAAGGTCAAGTGCTTCCTGCCGATCCGTGACCATGCACGCTCCTGACCGAAAACTCCAGCCTATCCTGCGAAGACTGAGCACTGCTACTTCAGCTGGGGCTGCTGCTTGTCTCCAAGGTGATTGGACTCCTTCGAGACGGCCCAGGGCTCCTTCAAGACACCGTTCCAAAACAGGAAGCTTCGGAAGCGACTCCCAGACCGCCGCCGCCCATTGGAACACAACCATCCCGATGTTCAACAGCAGCGGGTCCACTCGGACCCCTTCAGCATAGCTCAAGAGACGGAGCCCGACCGTGGAGCCCTTGGGGACCTTCCCGAGACTTCCAGCAGCTCCCAATCGAAGACGATGAAGTTGGGTCGAAGGAATCCCCATGATGCTGGACCCCCATAGAGCCGACGCCGTAGGGCCTCCACGCTGAATGAACCCCGTGTTGGCCCCCGCCTCCCTGAGCTTCTTAATCTTAATCGTCCTCCCTCTGGCCTTGTCCCACCTGTCCCGAGTGATCTGAACCCTCCGTATGGACCCCATCACCGCGTCGGTGCCGAGGTTCCTTGCATGGTCCACCTTGCTTTCCTTCGGGAGGTCCCACAGGGGCTGCAAGGCCTCATTCAAGTCCGAGTCGCTAGTCATGTACTTCGACTTTTCCGAGACGGGGAGCTCGAGCTCCGAGAAACTGGACAGCAGGGACTGCACACCTGCGGCGAGCTGCGGTGCAATGAGCTGCTGCGGACCAACAATCTGCAGCGCGATATCGTCTATCACGTTACGGATGCACAACTGCGGCCGGCCAGACTGCGCGGCCGAGAGCGGCGACAACAAAAGCAACTTCGTAAGCGCGGTAGCTGCAGAGCACCCTGCTATGACTGCCCCATTGCCTTGCACCTTCCTAGATACCGCCCCTCCATAGTGCAGCATCCTATCCCCTGCATAAATCACGCACAACCCTCGCAGGAGCTTCAAATTGAAACCATGCTGGCACGCCGCACGATACAAGTCCATATGGTCGATGTGCTCATAGAACTTCTTAAGGTCCAGGAGCACCGTCGCCGCCGAGGTCCCCAGGACTTTCCCGAAATGGGCCAGCATGTTGTGGACCCATCCTGCTCGTTCACAGGTAGACGTGGCCCCGACGCCCCAGAAGAAGGCCTGCTCGTGGGCCTGTTCCCAGGTACGGCAGATGTTTTGACGGCACTTCGACCAGATCTTGGTGAACATGCACAATAATCCTATCGGGCGTACTCCACCATCTGGCTTGTCGAGGAAGATGATATTCGTCAAAAACTCTGCGATCACACAGGGTCGATCCTCGAACGAGCGAAGGATGTCGATAACACGCAATTGATACTCTTCTGGAAGAAACAAGATCTGGCGGGGATGGAAGGAGTCCCACCCAAGACCAGCCCCTTCCCCATACGAGTTACACACACGTCTCAACTGTTCCAGAGAGATAGGTGGTAATTCTTGTCCCAACACATCCCAATGAGCTGGGTGATCTTTGCTGAGCCTGCCTTCTTTGTGCCAGAGGGGAAGCCACTGCTCTAGAAGCTGGAGGAGCGCGAGCTCACCGTTGACTGGTAAGCGGCCGTGGTCGTCTACGACACTGAACGGGACCGTCCTGTCTGCGCGAGAAACCCTGGAATATGCATGCGCTGCCTTCCCTCCCCGCTGCACTGACGACTTAGCCCACTCCTTCCACTCCGATAGGGACTCCTTGGCGTCCAACTTTCGCAGGCCTTCTACATACTCACGTAACTGCCCGAACAGCCCTTCTAACTCCTCTCTGAGCCCCATGGATATCCCTTCGACTAGGCTGACCAAAAATCGGACATTCGTGCCTTCGTCTGGCGCCTCCAGCGCCGAGATCATCCCGAACAGGGCGGCACACCATTCATGAAAAAGACCGCGAGCTCTGGCGCCTAGCATATCTGGGCCAACTGCAGCAGCTCGACGCGCCAACGCCTCGAAGGACATCCAACTGGTGGTCCGCTTTGAATATCTTCTCCTAGACTCTCGGTCCCAAACCGTCTCGAGGGGAACCTTAGTGACTTTAGGCCCCCCAGCTCTTCCACACGTCCTGGCCGCGCTAGCACTGTCTAGGTCGTGGAACTGCACGAGCCAGCCCTCGGCCTGGGTGAACCATTCCCTGACCATGGACCCCAAACAGTGCGAGCCTCCTCCAACTTCCCAAGACCACGTGCCTTCCGTAGGGAGCCTCCGAGGACCCACAAGCTTGTCCAAGGGGAACTGCGCATATCTAACCTGCTTCGGGACAACCGTCGACGGGGCCAGGTTCTTGACAACGATACCCACAGGCATATGAGGCCACGAGGGGGCTGCAGGGAACGCCAGGACCTCCTTGACGCAGTGCCCCAAACACCTGGACCCCACGAAGAAATCGATCTCCCGCTCATCCTTCCTGTCGAACTCCTCCTCGGGCCCTGAACTGGATCCTGGAGCGGGCCCTGATCGACACGTAGCGTGGCCCGTCGTAAACATACATCCCCCAACCTTGGACACCCATTCCGATGCTTCGAGTTCCTCAGGGGTGAGGTTCCAGTCCCCTTGCACGATCCAGAGGCAGGTGAGGGACTTGATGTACTCTCCGAGAGTGTTCAATACCTCAACATTGTCCCCTGCGACTCCAATGCTGGTGTAGAGGTAGACCGAGAAGACCATCAACCCGCCTGGAAGTCCTACGTTGATGTGCCTGCTTGCCACTCGCGACTTGAAAGGTTCCAACTCGGGTGGCCTTGGCACACTAGAGGACGCCAGAGAGCTGGCCACTGCCAAGGGGGAGGAGGAGGAGGAGGAGGAGGAGGAGGAGGAGGAGGAGGAGGAGGAGGAGGAGGAGGAGGAGGAAGAGGAGGAGGAGAAGGGGGAGGAAAACCGACGACCGAACGACGAAGGAACGCGCCGCCTTTGGCGAAGCGTCGCCCGTGCAACTCGCCGGGCGCACCGGCGCGGGCGGCGCCGGCCGCGCGGCGGCTGACGCGGCGAGGAGGGCGCCGCAGGACGCGCGGATGGCCTCTTGGGCTGGCGCGCGGCGCGGGGACGGGAACGCCGCGGGGAGGGGAGGGAGGAGGGGAGGGAGGAGGTAGGGAGGCGATGGGGAGGGAAAAGGGAGGATGGAGGAGGCATAGGGAGGCGATGGGGAGGGAGTAGGAAGGAGGGAGGCGACGTGTAGACGATGGGGAAGGAACGGGGAGGAGGAATAAGGGCGGAGGTATAAGGAAACGATGGCAGGTGGGAAGAAAGATGAGGGAGGAGGTGAAGGGATGCGATGGGGAGGCGATGAGGAGGGAAGAGGAGGAAAGCGGGAGGAGGGAGGTGTGGGGAGGGGCGGGAGGGCCTCCCATGCAATTCCCTTCTCGCGGGGTGTGGGGGGGGGGCGGAAAGGATTGCCAACCTCGTGCCCCTCCAACCCGGGCCTCCTCCCCTTCTCCCTACCGGTCCCCGTCCAAATCCCACCAACCCTCTGGGCGTGGGTTGTTTAACGAACCGTGTTTTCTCTGCCAAAGTTCCTTCCTTTCCCTGCTCGGGGGAAGGGTGTCTCACTGTTCCCTATTCGTACACCCCCCTCCCCCACCTGGCTGGCGGCCAACCCAAAACCACGCCAACCCCATGAGGCCACCCTCCCCACCATCCCTGTCAAAAACAATACGAAACTCTGCTTCCAAATGAGCATGCGCGACCGCCCGGCGACCATTTTGCATTGGTAATTTACAGGGGCGACTGGGGCGCCAGCAGATCCCACCTGCCTTCTGGGCGCATGTGGTCGACCGACTGGTTTGACACATCAATGGCTGCTGTCTTTTCGCCTAGCCGTTTCCGACGGGATTTCGAAGCCTCCACATGGCTCCAACAGTGGCCAAGAAAGCTCAAAACCAGGTCCAAGAGCCCCATGTTGGTTCCCAGTGGCTGGCGCACCTGGCGCGGCTGGAGCACGCTAGATCACTGCATGGTCGATCGACATCTCAGCGAGGGACATGGGGAGAAGCGTTTGCCACGCGCGAGCGCACGAGATCTGAGCCAGTCGTGCCTGGGCTGGCCCGAAGCCAAACTGGCCCGCAATATTAAACATACGCTGCACGTGCACAAAGCAACGCAAGAAAGAGGGACGGACTGGGGAGGACGAATTGGTCGCATAGGGAAGAACAAGGATCCAAACAAGGTCGAATTCAACGGGGGGGACTGGGGCACTAGAGGACAGCGGGGCCACTTTTCGCGGGGCCGACTTCGTCGGACCTCTGTTCCACGGCTTCTCTCCTGAGGACTCGCCGGCCCGCCGGCTGGCGTGAGCGTCCTCCTCGTGTCCTGGGCCTTCCCTCCCCCTCTCTCCTCTCTCCTCGCTCTCCGCGTTTCCTCCCAGCTTCGTCTGTTCTCCTGCTCCTTCCAAGTGCTTCCTGCCGTCGTGCTTCGCCAGCGCTCTCCAGGGCGCCCCTGGCGCCCCGCTCGACAGGGCCTTGGCGGTTTCGTTGCAAAGGCCCTCTCGCTGAGATGACTCTCCTCGTCGATCAAGCGTATCGAGCCGCTGGTCAACGCGTCCGCGAGCGCCAGGTTGCCCCGGCCGGGGTCTACCTTCGCCATCGGGTCCGCGGGCGCGCGCCCGCGCGGAGTCCAGTTGACCTGGGAGCCCACCGCGCTCGCGGCGTCTTGCGCGATCGCGAGCTCAATCGCGCTCCGCGGTCTTGCGGGAGAGCGCGTCGAAGATCGACTTCGCGTCCGCGATGACCAGGCTGGGCGCTTTCTCGCCTAAGTCACGAGTCCTGGGCAGGAGAGCCTGTCAGGGAGACTGGTCAGCACGACCCGCTGGAATTGGGCCGCCGGAGCGCGGTGGCTAGAGTGACGCGCTCGCGAGAGGCTGCCGGAGGTCTGTCCTTCTCTCGCGGTCCAAGGGCATTGGGACGAACTGTTCTCGAATGTACTTTTCCTGCTCCGCCGTGATCTTCTGGCCAGACTGACGCAGGCGGCGGCCTGCGCAGTCTGCCACTCCGACCTTCCATTTACCGAAGCGGAAGTGCTTGGTAATCTGGCCCATGGACCGAACCTCTCTCCGGAGCAGTCGAAGCGATGAGGTCGTCGACCTCGATCGCCGCCTGGGCGTCCAGCGCCCCGGTCTTCGAGCGCCTCGACCAGAGGCGCGGGCCCACCGGCCCCTTCCTGAACCCCTTCTCCCGCAGCCAGTCCGCGAGGGCGCGATGCCGGAGCGGCGGGGCGTCGTCGAGGCCGTAGACGGGAGCGACCAGCTCGGTGAGCTGATCGCCCCCGCGGGCCCAGGCCATGGCACACCTCGCAGTAGACGGCGCCTCTGGGGCGCTCAAGAGGGGATGACCGAGACCGCCAGAACGCGCTCTTGCAGTCCGCGACCTGCAGCTCCCACCCCAGGGGGGCAATGACCTGGAGGGCAACAGGACCGCCCCTCCCTCCGCCCGGGCCTCGGCGCCCCCAGGCGCGCCGCCGGCTCTTGGGGGCCGGTGCCTCGCGCCCTCCGCCAGCTTGAAACGCCCGACCATGCGCGGAGACAAGACGCGGTCTGGGAACCACGTAGAGCGGCCTCCGCGGGATCGAGGACCCGGGCGGCCTTGGAGTCGACGATGGCCCTCTACTCTTCGGCGCCAGCCTCTTTGGGCCTCTCGAGGTCAGCGTGATCCAGATGCTCGAGATTTACGTCCGCTCCAAGTCGGTTATTGCCCCTCCCGTCGCCCTCCGAGGTCGCGCTGGCTCTTCCCCGGTGGTCGCGCGCGCGGGATCTCGCGAGTCCGTCTCGGAGCTCGCTACTTGAAGGATTGCCGGGGGAGGTCCCTCGGGGGCAATAGAGCCAAACTGGCGAAGAGCGAAGCCGCATGAATCTTCGCGTTGACTCTCGAGGAAGTCTGCGAGGACTCAAGTCAGAGTATCGTCCTGGGTCGCATCTGGGGATCTCCAGACATCCTGGGGCTCGGCTTCGCCGTCCTGGTTCTGCGCGGCCCCCGGGTCTTCCTCGGTCGAGGCGCAGTTGCAGTCTCGATTCCCCACGCAGCCCAGGAACGCCGTCAGTCTCCTACCGTCTGGAATGACCACCGTCGAGACTGGCTGTCCCCGGAGGTCTCGCGAGGTAGTGGGATGCGAAGAGGAGGGAGGTGGACTCTTCCTTTCTCTCTCTCTCAATAAATCAAATCATTGTTTATATATCTCTCTCTCTTCTCTCTCTTCTCTCTCTCTCTCGCTATATATATATATATATATATTTCCCTTCCCTTCCCTTCCCTTCTCTTCTCTTCTCTTCTCTTATCTTCTCTTCTCTTCTCTTCTCTTCTCTTCTTTGTTTTATTTCTCTCTCTCTCTCTCTCTCTCTATATATATATATATATATATATATATATATATCCCTGGCGTCGCAGGCGCAAGCGCGGGGCCTGCCTGGCCTCCAGGCAGACGGTCAGCGGCGTCGGTGCGGTCTGGCCCCTCAGTGGAAGTTCTGCCCTCCCACACCTGTGTCTGGTCGCCCATCGTGACGCCCTCGCCCCTCTCCTTGATCGGGGTTAGAACGGCCTCCCTAGACGGGGCGCGGGCCCCAGGAGGGCCCGAAGACGCCGGGGCGGATGCCCCCGAGGTCCGGCCCCCGGAAGACTTCATCGATCCCGGCCGCGGGGCTCGTCTCCATTTTCCCGAGCCCGATCGATCGCCGCGCCCCCGCCCGAGGTCCTGCATGGGCGCGGGCAGGTCGTCTGTGCCTCGGCGCGTCGGTATGTCAGTAGAAGCCGAGTCGGACCCGGGCCTCCCGCCTTTGCTTCTCTTCGCGCGCCCGGGGCGGCCTGGCCTCCTGTCTGAGCCCGGGCCCGCGAGCCTGACGTCTGGAGCCGGGCCCTCGGGGGCCGCGGTGTCCTGGGCCTCGCGGGGAGGAGGCCCCTCCCCCTCCGCGCCCGCCGCTCCCGCCCTCGCTAGACGACCGCTCCGGGGCCGCGCCATCGGCCCCTCTGGAGACCGCGGGCGCGGTTGGCCGGGGTCGCACTCCTCCAGACAAACGCCCGCTGTCCGGGATAGAACTGTTGGTTGATCCCTGTGCTTTCTGGCCCAGACACCCTCCTCGATCCTGGCGCGCGCGCCCGGGGCCGTGGCGGCCTGGCGCGCGGCCTCTGAGAACATGTTTCTGGACGAAAGCGACCGCGACAGATCGCCCCCCCCCCCCCCCCCGGCCGCGACGTCATCGACCCCCGCGTCGTCGGGGGGGTCGCCGTCCAACGGCGCCCGGGGGGCCGGGGGCCCCCCGCGAGAGCGGAGTTGGTAGGGGCTGTATACTGTAGCAGAGCAGTTAAAATCCTGTTTCTTGTTCGAGACAGCCTCGATCAGGAGCCGGGGCGTCTCCCGCTTGGATATCGGGCTGGTGACTTCGACCGCCCTGTGCAAGGCCTGATTGAACCAGCCCCCGTGCCTCTCGCACTTGCCATTCAGATGGGGGCCGCTGGCGTCCGCGACGCGATGATGCGCGCCTGCGCGCTCGGCGTTTCTCGCGGACGCGCCCTCGAACTGGGGCCTCCCATCCGCGGTGATGGGGGGGGGGGGGGGGGCGAATGGCTGGGCCCGCGCTCTCTGAAGCGCCCCGGGCGCCCTGGGCCGGGGGGGGGGGGGGGGCAGCATGGGGGCGCGCTGCTGGAGCGACGCGCCGCGATCTGCGCAGTTCAGAATGCCCAGGGATTCCCACCCAAAGGGAACGAGGAAGGTGTCTACCGCTGCCGGCCAGCCCATGCAATCGGCACTTGAGAGGCGCGCCCTTCTCCGCCAGCGAGGTCCGGCATTTGATCGGCGCAGCTCGGACTCCCACTCTTTCGCGGTCAATTCAATGACGTCTGGGCGAGCTCTGGCTAACCTCGTGGCTCTGACCAGGCGAGGAAGAGGGGGGTGCCCTAAATGCACGTAATTGACAGAGATTGGACCTCACTCGCCGGAGTCCGGACAGCCCCCTCGTCGCCCCAACTCATTTCAGGCCCGAAGATGAGGCCCTTAAAAGTGCTCCCAAAGAAAATGCCTTCTCTGATTAAACTGGCACTCGGCCGTCCTAACGCGCAGCCCCAGATATCCGAGGCCCGCGGCCTCCTCGGGGCCCCGCTCGCCCCTGCGCATCTCGTCTCAGTTCTGCGCCCCGGCCTGGCTGAAGGCTAAACAGGTGAGGGGCGAGGTCGCGACTGATGGCCGACTTCTATCTATACTAAAGGGCCTCATGATCTCCGCTGCTCCTCCCGCCAATCGCGGTCGCGCCCAAGCTTCTCGTCCAAGCCCTCGGAGTCTCGGCGCCCTCGTCGCCCCAGCTCCGGACTCGCGCGGGGGGGGCGATCTCCATGATAATGGCGCCCCTCCTCAGAGGCCCGGGCCGTCTGTCCTCCTGAGAGCCCCCCGGGCCCCTCGGATATTATCCCCCGCGAAGACTTTAAAGGCTTCCTGCCTGGCTGTTCGCGGCGCCTGCATGAGCGCCCCCCCGCGCCGTGAAGCAGCTGGGCCCGTTTACGTGGCCGCGAGGCTCCTCGCCCCTTCTTCCCGCCCAGATATTCCTGCCCCCCCCGCCCCCTCTGCTCGTCTTTCCCCCTGGCGCTCCAGGCCTCTAGCTTCGAGCCCTTCGAGCCCGCAAGCTGGTCGGCCGCTTCCCGAGCGATTCTCTTCGCGCTTATCTCGGAGGTCATGCCGTCGAATAGCGCCTCGCCGCCCACGGCCCTCCTCGCGCACCTGGCCCGTTCCGGCAGGATCTCTTCGATGGGCTGGGGTGCTCTGGGCGTGACGTTTCCAGCCGTCGACATCGGCCAGGTATTTCGGTCACGTACTTCCTAGCGCGCCCTGCCCAGTCGGTCCCCGACCTGATCCAAGGAAATCCTCCTACCTTCTCTGGCCAAGAAGGACAAAGCCGGTGGCTTGCTGAGGCTCCAAACGATTCCAGCATAAAGGAGTCGAGAGATTCCTCGAGGCCCTCAGGCGCCTCTAGTGCCTCTCGCAGAGGCCCCGATGTCTCAATAGACGCGATCCACGTACTCAACGGTCGCGAAGAGCCCCCGCGATGTTTTTCATGTCGTCCGTCTGCTCCCCCATCATGTCGGCGACGGCCTTTATGAGATGCGACATCTCCTCGCACGACGCTGACGATTAGCTGGAGCTTCTGCCCGTGGTCACCCTCGGCTGAGCCGCGCCTTCGGCTTGGCCCCGAGCATCTCGGTCCGCCCCGCGGCCCTCGGCGGGGGGGGCGCGTGGGGGGGGTCGTCCTCGAAGTCCTTTTTGACCTCGGTCTTGGCCTCCCGAACTTGGCCGCCTTCAGAAATGCCGCGCGCTGAGCAACTCGACTCTGCTTCGGTTCCTTCCGCATGAGGGCGCCCGCGATCTCCTCGGCCGTCTTCGCGCGAAACGATCGCCTTTTTCCCGCGCAGGTGGCAGGCGCGTGCACTAAAATCCCGTTCATCCCGCCCGGCCCACTCAGGGTGCTCGCACTTGTCCGGGTCGCGGCGGCCGCTGGACGCCGCGCGGGTGGCGGGCAGGTCCAGCCGTCCTCGACGCCAGGAAGAGCTTGAGGGCCCACTGGCGCCACTTGCAATCTTTCTCGCCCACCAATTCGTGCCCGTTCAGGAAGAGCTTTTGGCGCGGACGGGGCCTTTTTCGGCCGCCAGTGGGCCACCTTAAGCTGTCTGGGGCTGCCTGGAGGCCACCTGGGGCCGTCCTGGCGGTCTCGGGGGCCGTCTCGAAGCCATCATCGGCTGTCTCGGACTCACAACTGACCGTCTTGGGCGTTCCTGGGGCTCCTCGGCTGCCGTTGTTGGACTGTCCTGCGGCCTCAGGGGCTCCTCGGAAACGATGAGGCGAGATCTTGAAAGCACACGTTTTGTTCCTCAGGTTTTTGAAGGATGTTAACCTCCTGGGGGCTTCTTGGGCACCTCTCGTAGGCATCTTGGGGGCCTCTTGGGGTCGTCTTGGGGCCATCTTGAGCTTTCTCGGGCGGTCTGGAGGCGAGCTGGGGCAGTCTGGGCGAGTTCCAGGGCCGTCTTGGGGCCCTCTGGGGTCGTCTGGGGGCCATCTGAGAAGGTCCGGGGGGCCCCCGTCCACCATTACGGGTGTGGGGCACCTGGCTCTGGGCTCCCAGAACGCCTACGCCGTTATACAGGTGTGTGCACACACACACACACACACACATATAGGCATCTGTACAAAATCTATACACACAGATGTGTTGCGACGCTCGCAGCGTGCACGCGGCCATTGAAATTACTTTGCACCGCGCGCCCTGGGCACATCTTACTTTGCCGATGTCTCCACAAGAAGTTAGAGCGTTCGCCCAGTGGTTAGGTGTTCCTGTAATATACCACGCCTTTGCTTGCGTGCTTTCAAAAAGACCAAGCGAAACCACTCTCGCTGCTTCCGCGCCCGGCTCCAGGGACGCGGAACCCCACTTCCGTTTTGCAGCCGACTGTTCGCCCGTGTCTAAGGCAAACCACGAGGCGACCAAAACCCATCCCGAAACTCCCTACAGCCAAGTTGCTGTCAAAAGGGACGCTACTCTAGAAAAGAAGCCCCGCTTTGGCCGTAAAGCGCCCGGGTGCACGAGCAGGGCTGGAGGAACAGCCACGGAGGGACCCAAGGAACAGCGAGCCCCTTCCGAACCCAGAGCGTTCCTTATTTCAGCGTCTTGGCTGCACTGGCATTATTGCATCTTTATTGTGAGGCAGCCATGAATCGTCAGACCCAATGTGTTATTCGGCTCGTTGGCTCCCTTCCAAGATTGTGTGCACATCTCTGCAATAACGGAAGACGTGTCCGAGCTTCTGAAGGTCATTCTCGAATTTGTTGGCGGCAATTTCGAACACGCACCAATCTGTGCACGCACGCGTCTTGCAAGCCCCCAGCCTTCCACGCTTGCTTCATCTTTCCTCAGATGATAACAAATCGTGTAACAATTTTCACAACGAGGGGCCCAAAAATGTTTCATTGCCCCTGAGTGCGTGGTTGAAACAGAATTTCGTGATCCGGACTCTTGTTCATTTCCAAAGGGCATCTATTGTTGATCGCCTCCATCCGGTGCTTTTCGTGTTTTTCAAAAAAAACTCCCATCCAGGAGCTCGCATCTTGTTTTTGCAGGGGAAAGTCTGGAGTATCAAGAATCACGCTCTTGCTTTGGACCTTCCCACGATTTCGTTTGGAATCTCGCTATCGCTCGGAACTTCCTCGCGGTTCATGCAAAACTGACGTTTTAACGACCCGCCCGCTCGAACCAACCGTCTGGTCCCGCCCGCCCGACCCGCCCGTTAGGGTCACCCAAGGGGGGTACGATCGAAGACGAACAGGGCGTGTATCAAGGGTTTGGGATATCCATGCTGAGTGACACACGAGCAGACACGAACGAACAATCGTAAAACGATTGCTCTTGTCGCCGTCGACGTTCTCACCCGAGCCCCCCCCCCCCGCGACACTCCCCACGCCCGCCCCCTCACTCTTATACGCAACTGCGGGTGCGCTGCTTAGAAAAGAAAGGAGGACCCTACAAATATGACGAGAAAAGGGATTGGAGAGAGGGAAATGAATTCCAGACTACTGACGGTTCACACAAATTATGCCCCGAGTGCCCCAGCGAGCCGTGTGTCTTCGCCTTCGGCTGCTCCGCAAATAAACCTGCTGGAACTGATGTCCACAACACACCATTTTCACATGCGGGAGCCATCCGCAACTTTATGAATTCTGGGCAATCACTAAAACGGTATGGGGGCCGCACACCAAAACAAAACCATGACATCGGATGTCTGAGGAGATCCCTGCTCCTCTTCCTCCTGCTCCTCCTTGTCGTCGTCGTCGTCCTCCTCCTCCTCCTCCGCCTCCTCCTCCTCCTCCTCCTCCTCCTCCTCCTCCTCCCCCTTCCCTCCTCCCCCTTCCCTCCTCCCTCTGTCGCACCCGGAAGCCAGTTTTTAGGGCGGGTCGGGCGTTTTGCCTGAGACTTCCTCACCATTTACCATTTATGACCCTGAAGCTCAAACATTGGCAACAGCTTCACAGGAGGGCCTGTGGTTTTCAAAATGTGGCTCTCGCCTTATGCCCCGCGCACTTGTTTTCACCATTTGCACGAATGTCGCGGATTGAGGGCCACCCGTTCTTAAAAAGTGGCTCTCGCTAAAGCGCCGCGCATATTCGTTTTCAAGATTTGCAAGAATTTCGCAGATTGAGGGCGGCTCCTTTTTAAAATGTGGCTCTCACCTCAGCGCCGCGCACGTTCGTTAACAAACGGATTCCCAGGATCAACGTACCATGGTGTTTTGGACGGATTCAGGACTGTGCGGGTGCAGCAGTTACGTTGATTCGCAGTGTTGACGTCCCAGGAATGGCCTTCTGGCACGATTCAGGCTCGTCAAGACGCAGCAGTCAGGTTGATCCGTGGCGTTGGTATCCCGAGGACAATATTTTGGCATGCTTCCGCGTCTTCAAACGATTGTCTTCCAACGAGGCAATTCCATCAGTGGGAAAGAACCTTGTAGGGGTCTATGAAGAGGGAGCTTGGAGGGAGAGTTGTTTCCAATATCGTTGATGCCTCTTGGGTTTACACTGGTCCTCCTCCTCCCTCTCCTCCTCGTCTTCCTTCTCCTCATAACCCCATCCTCGCGCTGCCCCCTCCTCGAGAAGGGGTCGTAAGCTCCTCCTCCTCCTCCTCCTGCTCCTGCTCCTCCTCCTCCTCTCCCTCATGCCCACTCCATCCTCGAGGGGCAAGGGGAATGAGGAGGGTCGCATGGAACCAATCGGAACACGATCGATTATCTGTCGCATTGAAATCCCCTTCCCATTCCTCCTCCCCCTCCCCAACCTGGTCATCCTCCTCCTCCTTCCCCTCCTTCTCCTCTTCCTCTCTTCCTCCTTCACCTGATGATTCTCACCCTTCTCCTTCTCAAGGAGGAAGAGAGAGAGAGAGAGAGAGAAAGAGTATGGGTCAATTTGGGAGAAAAGGGAAGGGGGTTAAAAATGCGAGGATGAAGAAGGAAAAAGGGGGACGGGGATGGACGAAGAGGGTACGGATCACCTTGAATTTCTCCGGATCGCCGCCCTTGTCGGGGTGGTGCTCCAACGCGAGGGCCTTGAATGCATCGCGGATGGTCAGCTTGAACGCCTGTAAAGGCGGCCAGTCGTGACCAAACACAGACAAAAGGATGAGGCTGGACGGGGGAACACGGGAGTAAAGCAAGGGTGGAGGGAGGACGGATGAAGATAACCAGGAGGGAAATAAACCAAACAATCGGAATGACGCAATGGCCAACGAACTGCGCGCGAGCATCCGAGAAATGGCCGATCCTCAACCGACCAAGCTATTGAACCATTCAAGCAATGAGCATATATGCTTAAGAACGCGATCAAATATGCGCCTCACGCTCGAATATGTTTTTGCAAACGCCGAGACCCTACCTGATCGTGTGGGGTGGTAAAGCGGGTCTGTCTGGCTGGCAATGGGCTCGGAAAGAGAGACTGTCCACGCCGGTGCATGCCGCAGTGTCTTGCGTTGGCAGCGGGACATGACAATATGATCACATTCATCATCATTATCACTTCGTACATGTTTAGAGCTTCGGGCATAAATCGAATTCATGTTGCCACGAAGAACGGGTCGTGAATGCAAGAGAACCCATGTACATGGTATTAAGTTTATTCTCAACCTCCCAACTTCTGATTCGTGACCTGCTAAATACTGGATATTGCTCCGATGCTCGGCACCCTGCGGAAAGCTGAGGCGTTGTGACCAACTGGCCAACACAATTGTGAGCTCTTCGTATTCCGAACATCGTCGTGGCATATATGGGCAACCGCGACGCGGCCACATTGATCCGCAGTGCGAGGGTGCCTCGATTCGCGCCTCGTATGGGCCTCGGGCACCTGACGATCATATAAATATGCATCCGACATTGCACCGTTGCGGCTGAAGAACCTAAACAACATAACTAAACTGCACAGCACATGCCAAGGTCATACGGGAGACCATACGAGCGAACATATGGGAGACCATCGTGCTACCAAAAAGAACGCTGAACCAAGATTTAAGGGGCTTTCCTAGCCACCGCGAGCCTCGGCCACGGATAAATCCCACGACCTATATCTAAGAAACGGCTCACAAACCAGAGCCCCTCCAGAGACCCAAGCGGTCCTCGTTCCAAAGGAAAACCAAGTGGGAGATCCCACGGTAGAGCACTCGGGAGAACATGCGGGAGAACAACTGGGAAGACATACGGGAAAACGCACGGCAGAGTATACGGGGAACCATACGGAAGAGCATACGGGAGAGAACATGGGAGACCATGCAAAGACCATGTAGGAGACCACAAGGGCGGCCGTATGGAAGACCGATTCCAGAACCAGAGCTCCCGCGTGCCTCGAGGCAACATACGGGACCCTTAGAGACAAGCTGTTTAGGGAATGGTTGACCGTACTCCACCTTCCTCTTTCGCCCCGCCCTCCACGAGCCTCGGAATCCATGGCAATCGGCTCCAAACCTGGGCTGCCCTGAGCTGGCCGTCGTCCCTGCCTCCCGGAGTCGCCTCCCACGCCCCCCGGATCGCGCGTCGTGAACATATCATAACGTCGTAAAGGTACAACTGGGTCTATTTCTTATCTGCTTCGCCCCTCCCTCCATCGAGACGGATGTATCCGTGAGGGCACCAGGGCACGAAAACCGAGCAGACGACAACGACAACAGAACGACGACGCAACGACAACGACGACGACAACGACGCGGCGACGAAGACGACGCGACGACGAAGGCGATGACGACGACGAAGGCGGCGACGACGACGACGACGCGGCAACGACGACGACTCGATGGCGACGACGACGATGACACACCGACGACGACAACGACGACGACGCAGCGACGACGACGACGAGTCGACAACGAGTCGACGACAACGACACGACGACGGCGCGGCGACGACGACGCGGCGACGGCGACGAAGACAATGACGACACAACGACGACGCGGCGACGACGACGAAGACGCGACGACGACGACGACGGCGCGACGACGACGATGCCGACGCCGACGCCGACGACACGACGACGGCGCGGTTACGACGACGACGACTGCGACGAAAGGGGCCCCCAAGAGGCCCACCAAGAGGCCATCCCGGAGGCCCCCAGTTGCACCCAGTAGGCTCCCAAGATCAAGAGGCCTCCGAGAGGCACCCCAAGAGACCCGTATGTGCATTCAATACAAGAGGCCTCTGGTCCACCACCCAGGCACGGTTGTGGAATGGGCGGAGGGTCACTAGATAGAGGTGGCACGGTGCTCTGTCTCTTCTCCAATCTCGAGGCGCTCCTCAAGCCGTTCTGGGACACGCCCGTAACCTCAGCGTTCCCCGCCTGCAGAGGAAGGCGACAAGCTGCAGCCGGGCTGCCACACGGGTGCCCATCGCTTCTATTCAGACGCGCCATTATTATTCTTCTTCTGTTTCCTCTTCTTCTTCTTCTTCTTTTTCTTCTTCCTCCTCTTCCTCCTCCTCCTCCTACTCACAGACCTCGCAGACCTCCAGCGCGCCTCGTCAATCCCGATCGGCGGGCCCCCTCGGGCGCACGCTGACAACGCTAACATGGACTAGGCATCCGTGGATCGGGAAAAAGGCCCCCTCCGAAACATGGCGCTGGTGACGCCTCGTCTGGCGACGGAGCGCGCCGATCTCGTATGGAAGCGGGGCCCGTCGCTAACCCGCGCGCCTGATGCCATGCTTTGCTGCCTTGAGCCTCTCCCCTCCCTCCCTCCGTCCCTGTCCCCGACCTCCACCTCCTGTCCCTCGGCCTGCCCCTTGTCCCTGCTTCCTCCGCCCTCGTGTTTTTTGGCTCGGCCCCCCCAGCCCCACCAGAAGGACAACAATAAGGGGGGCGGCAAAACTCTGGGAGGCAGCCGTACGGCCAGCTTGGGGTGTCCGGTGGGCCCAGCGTGGCAAAGTGCTCCTCCAGGTCGGCTCCTCGAGAAGAGGCAAAAGAAACTGCAGAAACATCGTGTCTCTGAGGTCTGCGCGGATTTCTTCGATCGGCATCGGAGGCGACGCCGATCCAGGAAATCCGAGCGGAACTCCGACACATTCGATTTCACCGTCGCCTTCGATCGAGCGGAGGAGGTGGAATCGGGGGCAAGACAGGACGGGACTGACGGCGAGGGCGAGGACGTGGGCGGAAGGGGGGAGCAACACTCGGGCGCGGCCTAACCGACACCTAGCAAAACATCCCCTTCCATGGCGCCACCCTCGCCTTTTGAGTTTCCCTCTGGCCGCATACATATGTCTTGGGGCGAGGCGAGGGGGACGTCACAAAAAGGGATGGTTTGCTAGGGGTCGTTTAGGCTGCCCCTGAAGTAGAACAAGAACAAACGCTATACACATAAACTCTTGGCGCTTCGCGCGGACTTCTTGGATCTCCGCTGGAACCCCCTCCCTAGCGCGCGAGGCGCGCTAGGGGCGGCGCCGCAAGCGCTGCCGGGGGGGCCCAGCGCGGATCCAAGAAATCCGCGCGAAGCGCCTCAAGTTGCTGTTTCGGGCGTTTTTTTGGCTTCTTCTTCTTCTTCGAGAAAGGGGATCGTTTGCTAGGGGTCGGTTAGGCCGCCCCCGAACCACTGGCTCTGGACAAGCCCGCCCCGCTACCCGCAGAGTAACGAAGTCGCACGCGGCCTCGACCCGCCGCGGGGAATCTACGATGTAGTACCTCGGGGCGAACACACTGCGAGGCCGGGATTTATCCAAATCCACCGCCTGGGAACCGATGTCCTGGTGCCCCGGCGGGCGGTGGATGTGTATATATATATATATATATATATACTAGAACCATCGCGCGCTTCGCGCGCGCTCAAGTTCTAGCCCAGGCCGGGAGGGCGCTGGAAGATCTTGGACAGCGCTATCAAGCACAGGCGCGTGACATAGTCGTGCCTCCTGGGGGCCTCTTGGTGACCTCTTGGGTCTTCGTGGGGGCATCTGAAGGGCTTCTGGGGGGTTTTCCGTGCTTCCTCAATTTGCTGTTGGAGGCATCTCGTGGGTGCTTCTTGGGGGGGCGTCTTGGGGTTTCTTGGGGTCCCTTCTTGGGAGCATCGTCGGGAATCTCCGGGCAGTCGGAAGGTGATGTTCTGCAATCTTAAGCCGTCATTGGCCGTCTTGGCTGCGTGGAGGCCCGACTTGAGGGCGCCTGGTGCCACGCTGAAGCAATCCGGAAGCCTCCCGGGGGCCTCCTGCAGACAGTTTTGATGCATCGAGGGTGCTGCTGGGCAATCTTGGGGCCCCTTGTACGTCTCCTTGGGGCCTCTTGGAAGGCTTATTGGGGCCTCGTCGGACCACTTGGGGACTTTTGGGGCCTTCTCTAGGCTTTTAGGGCGGAAGACTCTGCTGTTGGGTTCGCGTTCACATTCTTGGGCCTCTCTTGGGACCGTTTCGGGGCCCTCTCTGGCCGTCTTGGGCGCCTCAGGCACTGTATTGGGGCCTCGTGGGCCGTCTTGGGGCCCTCTTGGAAGCCTCTTCGGCTATCGTGGAACGGTCTTGGGGCCTCTTGGGCCGTCTTGGAGCGTCGGGATGTCAAAAGGCTGAAACGCCAAAGTGCATCAAAAACCAAAAGGAAAATCCGTGATCTTGGCTTCTTGGGGCCCTTTTGGGGGTGCGGGCCATCCGGAGGCCATCTTGGGCGTGTTAGAACGTTAACTCCGCGATAGTAGGCCTCCTGGGGGCCTCTCTCATAGTATGCCTCCTGGAGGCCTTTCGCGGCCCTTTTCATCTGTGTTGAAGCTGTCTTGAGCGGCCTGGAAGCGTCCATGGCGCCCCGACACCCCCATGGCGCGTCGGGCCCCCCCCGCCTCGGTGCGAGATCGAACACTGCAAGGTGAGGCGGCAACGTGCTCCGGCAGCGCGTTTCTGGAGCATGTTTGGGGGACCTGGGTGGGCAGTTCCGAAGCCTCTCGGAGGCCGTTTTGGAGCCTCTGGTGGGCCGCCAAGGGCACTCTTGGAAGCCTCTTCGGCTATCTTGGAGCTGTCTTGGAGGCCCTTCCTCCTCTCCCGTCCCCTCCCCCTCCACCCTCCTACTCCCTTACTCCTCACTCCTTTAATCTCCTCCTCCTCCTCCTCCTCCTCCTCCTCCCACTCCAGCTCTCTCTCCTCCTGATCTTCCTCCTCTTCCTGCAGCGTGTTCTGGAAGGCTCCCGCCGGAACGTGCTGTGCACAAGTGCTGTCACTGCTCCCGCCACCGTGCCCTGGGTGGTGGGTCAATGGCCTCATGGGTGTTGGTTTGGATCTCGTGGTTGGCCTGTCGGGGACGTCGCGAAGGCAGTTTCACAACTTCCTGGCAGCCGTTTTGGGACCGTTGTGGGGCCTCCTCGGAGCTGTTTTGTGGCCTCTGTAGGCCTCGTGTGGGCCTCCTGGGTGCCTCTTGGGGGCCTCCTGGGGCTTCTGGGGGCACTCTTCATTTGGGAGTCGTGGCCCCTTTCTTGGGCGCATCTTGGATCCGTCTTGGGGCTCTGTTGGCCTGTCTTGGGCGACTCTGGGGCCGTCTTGGGGCCCTCTTGGGCCGTCTTGGGGCGCTCTCGGGGGCCTATTGAGCCGTGTTGGAACGTCGGACAGCCGAAAAGGCTGGAAGGCCTAAATCGTTCGAGAACCTCGGTAAAATTGACGATTTCGGCCTCTTGAAGCGCTCTGGAGAGGCGTCTTGAAGCGTCGTGGAGGCCTCGTGTGGGCCTCCTGGGTGCATCTTGGGGGCCTCCTGGGCCTCTAGGGGCGCTCTTCAAGCGGGAGGGTCGAATTTGGGAGTCGTGGTCCCCCTCTTGGTCGCATCTTGGGGCCGTCTTGGGGCTCTGTTGGTTTGTCTTGGGCGACTCTGGGGCCGTCTTGGGGCCCTCTTGGGCCGTCTTGGGGCGCTCTTGAGGGCCTATTGAGCCGTCTTGGAACGTCGGACAGCCGAAAAGGCTGGAAGGCCAAAATCGTTCAAAACAATTGTACAATTGTCGATTTCGGCCTCTTGAAGCGCTCTGGAAAGGCGCATTGAAGCGTCGTGGAGTGCCTTGTG